ATCTACTTCTGCCTCATTAAAAATGACAGAATCTATGAAAATGCAAATTTTGTTTTTCATCTTCACTGTAAAGTAATTTAAATACATTTTAATGTGAAAATGTAACTCTTTGGTGGTAAAACCATATTGTATTGTGTCGTATGTGTGGATAGGGATCATTAAAGAACCCATCCACACATTTATTAAAGACAATATAATATATAACACTCATCATACAACATTAAAATCCTTCACAATAAAGTCCATCCTCAGTGTTTGTGCACTGCTGGCTTCAAGTAGATCACACTGGACCAGGATCAGGGTTTGGCCCTTTAATGTATCTGATATAAATAGTAAATAAACTGCACTGTTTGGGGAGGAAATGTTGCAGAAAACAGTCCTTTCTTTAATCTTTGTCCTCGCTGTCTCATAACTGATTACTATGAGATGTTGTAACACATACATTCACACAATGAAACACCATCTGGTTTTTCCTGTTGGGTTTATTTCAGTCACATTTAACACTTTAAGAACCAAACTAACCCCACAAGTTTAAAGTCCCATAATACCTATCCGCGCTCTTACCCTGTCTTTGGTCAGATCTGCAGCTGGCATGCGGTTGTCATGTCCATCGGTGGTGTCGTTTGACAGGTAGACCCCCAGCACCACCGCCAGCACCAGGACCCCGAACAGACAGAGCAGCAGCACCCGGGCCCGGGGCATCCGCACCCGGTCCCAGCCGGGCAGCGAGCCGCCCCCGTTGCTCTGCTGCAGCGGCTTGTACCTCCGACTGGACCTGGACATGACTCGGAGATAGGCCGCCTCTGTAGCGTCGAGCAGTCGGTCCTAAAAGCTACGTGTCCAAACAGACTTGTGGAGCATGTAGGAGGGAAATCCACGCAGGAAGTCGAGGAAAGGGGGACGCTGGCTCTGAGGCTGGAGTCTGTAGTCCACCTTCAACAACATGCTCCATCCTTCACACGAGAAAGTCCCTCGGTTGTGGTGCAGACTGCAGCCGCCCTGCTCTGTGGAGGCATGGTTGAGTCCAGTGAAGTTGATCCAGTTCACATTATAATTCACACAGACTGTCTCTCTGTGTGTCTCTGTGTGTGTCTCTGTGTGTCTGTGTCTGTCTGTGTGTGTTTGAGCTCGTCTTCATCCACTGACAGCCGCTAACGAGACAGACTGCAACCGACTGGTCACAACTCCTCTGGTGCAGATGTTTATTTAAAAATGAATAAATTTGACCCTTTTTCATTTCTCTGCTCAAATGGCGTTGCTTCTTCTCGGTTCCTGTGGTGTTTGGGAGACAGCGCCGTGCTGCTCTACCGCCACCCACTGGACGGATGTAGGAACTGCAGCGAATAACATTAACTACAGTTCAGTACTGCACAGGGTTGAGGAGTAACTAGTAGTGTAACTAATTACTAGTAATGAGATTACTCTTATTATTAGTGTAACTAATTATTAATA